GAGAAGGTTCAGTTCAGCCTTAGGGGCTCCAGCAGTTTCTATCAGACCAGTAAGTGTGGCCCTTTTTATGATTTTGAGTTAAGTTCTACATTTCTCTCCATTCAGCATCTTCTATGGTGACTCGGATCAGTGCTTGATGGTGGTGGCTGACCACCGGGTAGTTCTTAGTAACAACTTTTTTGTGTTTTTAAAATCATCTATTTTATCCATGTTGTTGTGAAGTGCCGTCAAGTCAGTTCTGACCCATAGCCATCCTGTCTAGGGTTTCCGAGGAGCAGCTGGTGAGTTTGCACCGCAGGCCTTGTGGTTCAAACCGACCTTGCAATCTAGCGTATTTGCAATCTAGCGACCTTGCAATCTAGCGACTACAGCACCACACCAGGACTCCATATATAACACATAAATATATACATATATGTACGTTTTGTTCTTATTAAGTGCTATCGAGTTGGTTCTGATCCATAGTGACCCTATATAGGGTTTCCAAGGAACGACTAGTGAGCTTGAACCACCGCCTTTGCAGTTCAAATCAACTTTGCAGTCCAGTGCATTAACCCACAGTGCCCCACCAGGACTCCACATATATGTAAACATATATGTATATATACATATCTATGTTGTTTTTGTTGCTGTTAAGTTGATTTGGTTGCATTGGTACTGACTCATAGTGATCCTGTATAGGGTTTCCAAGGAGCTGCTGGTGAGCTTGAACTGCTGATGTTGCAGTTTAAACTGACCTAGCAGTTAAGCGCATTAACCCATAGTACCACACCAGGACTCCATTTTATCTCTAAGACCTGGCTTTTCCCATTTTCTGTTAACCAAAATTAGAATCTCTTTGAAAGATGACAATTGACTGCCACTGAGGAGGCTTTTTTTAAAAACCTGTTTTTGCAGTTTTCAGAGGTTTCCCAGAAATTTGAATTTAATATGTTCTTGTACAGCCAGGAAATGATCTTACTGTCTGAAATGAGAAATTCTTAGGTGGAAATGCATTAAACCTCAGATTTAAGAGACTTTAAATAACCAGATTCCCTTTCAGAAACTTTCCCATCACCAATGGAACAGAAGACTCAGAATCCATGCAGTTACAGCTCCAATGTATTTCCCCTCAGCCAAGGCATGGGAAAACTGAGCTGGAGATTGTAAATATTTCATAAGTACTACAGTACTTAAAGGAGCTCTGGTAGCGTAGTGGTTACGAATCGGACTATGAACCGCAAGGTCAGCAGTTCGAAACTACCAGCTGTTCTGTGGGAGAAAGATGAGGCTTTCTGCTCCCGTAAAGATTTACAGCCTCAGAAACCCTGTACAGGGTCGCTGTGGGTCAGAACAGACTCCATGGCACATAACCACCACCACAGTTCTTAGAAAGAACTCTGGTTACGGAGTGACTTACCAGGTGGACTGCTAACAGTAAGGTCGGCAGTTCAAATCTACCAGTCACTCCATGGGAGAAAGATGAAGCTTTCAGTTCCCGTAAAGATTTACAACCTCAGAAACCCTATACATGGTCACTATGAGTTTGAACTGACTCAATGGCACCTAACCATCACTACCATGACCCACCACAGTCCTTAGAGCAACATGACATTTGAGTCCGTTGTTTTAAATAATGCTTCCTGTTAGTATTCTTAAAAGGGAAACTTCACAATGGTGGGCTAAACTGTGCTTTAATTATTACATGAGAATTTCTCCCAGGGTTCCAGGATGTGAATGACTGGCACACTGTCCCCAGCATTGTACACTAAGCCATTATGATTTACTGTTTGTCTCCCACTGTGCTCTCCACGGAGTGAAGCCTAGAGGCCAGTCACTTCCACTCATTTCAGACTTGCATTCATGGATTTAAAGGATCAGGAGACAAGCACAGGTAGTTTAAAAAATTGTTAAGTGCCATTGGGTCAGTTCTGACCCATAGTGACCCAGTATAGGGCTTCCTAGGAGTGGTTAGTGAGCTTGAACCGCCAACCTTGCAGTTCAAACTGGCTTTTCAGTCCAGTGCATTAATCCACAGCACCACAGTGTTGTTGTTGTTAAGTGTCGTCGAGTCGATTCTGACCCATAGCGATCCTGCATAGAGTTTCCGAGGCTGTAAATCTTTACGGGAGCAGAAAGCCTCATCTTTCTCCCGTGGAACCACTGGTAGTTTCCTGTACTGCTGACCTTGAGATTAGCAGCCCATTTCATAACCACTACCAGAGCTCCCCCAGCGCCACAATCGAGATCGCCTTATCATACCTCAGGAGCCCTGATAGTGCTGTGGGTTAAGCATTGGTCAGCAGTCTAAACCCTCCAGCTGATCCCAGGGAGCAAGATGAGGCTGTGTACTCCCATGCATATTTTCAGCCTCAGACACCCTCTGAAGCAGGTCTGCTCTGTCCTACAGGGTCTTGAGGAGTTGGAATTGACTCACCGCAGTGGGTTTTATCATATTTTAAACAGGACAAAGACAAGACTAAGGACAGTCATCCCAGACTGAGGGAAACCCTCAGCATGACGCCAAGATGGAATCCAGATAAATTTATGAACGTGGGTTAATTACACAATGGAAATCATCACCAAGTCGTGACTGGTGGCAGATCAGTTCACCACTGTCTAGGCAGCCTACATAAACGGGGGGTGTCGACGAGACCACGACTGGAATACATAATTGCAGGTTAAGGAGTACAGAACCGATCCTGAGACTGTGACCACCCAGCTACATGGGGCTAAGGTATGACTTGTAACCACACAGTCCTGTCAGAGCCACCAGCACGCCAACCCGTAGATGTAAATCATTAAGGACACTCCAGGCAAGCTCCCCCTCTGGGCTAGCTGGGGATTTGTAATCTGCTTTCAAACACACTCAAGCAAAGGGACTTTTATAAACAATGTACTTGAAATTCTCTTCAAGACAAAAATGATGAAAGCTCCAACTGGGACTGCGTGAAATTCACTTATAACAACAGCAGTTATAGATGACAGATTTGGGCAATTAGATTATTCACTGAAAAATTTTTATAGAGAAGAAAACTCATAGCATAAACACTGGTTGTAGTCCCCAGTACAGATGGCAGCAAACACTAGAGTCTGATTTCAGGGCACTAATGCTACCAGCCAAAGCTAAGGCAATGATATTCATACATGAATGATGTTAATTCCATGTGAATTCTGTGGGTGGACTGGTCAGAGGATGAGGTGCTTTCTCTGAATTTATTAGACTCTAGGCCTTAGGGCAGAGCTCTGGTAGGAACTTGGCAAACACCATGGTCAGTGGTGAACATAACCAGGCTGCCCAGCTGATCCTCCCCAGATCCCACGCATCTGCTTCTGGTAACCTCGCTCCAGTTCCCACTGCCCCACCTCCCAGTAATCTAGTATCTTCAACACGGCGACGTCAGCCCTCCAGTTAGGAGCTGCTGGTGAGAATCACAGCTGTATGCATTGAGTGTTCAGTGTGTCAGGCCTGTGCCACCTCCTGCCTTTCCATCTCAGAGATGTACACCAGGCTCCCGGGGCACAGCTCGTGCTCCTCCTCCCTAGAAACCCAGCCTACACGAGGTGGCGCAGGCCTTGGCACTGACTGCAGCTCTTTAGTCCTCCCTGCTGGACTGGAGTTCCATGACGTGCATCTCAAGCTCTCATGAAAGAACCGTATGAGATGCTACTTCATACCCACAAGGATGGTTAGTATCCGAAACCCAGAAAATACATGTTAGTGAGGCTGTGGAGGTACTGGAAGCTTCATCTAATGCTTGGTGGGAATGCAAAATGGTGCAGGCGCTAGGAAAGCCTTTTGGTGGTTCCTCAGAGTCTAACAGGACTACCATGTTGTTGTCATTGCTAAGGACAGTGGAGTCCCTTCTGACCAAGGCTATAAATCTCTGTGGGAGCAGAAAGTCTCACCATTCTCCCGTAGAGTGGCTGGTGGGCTGGAACCGCTAACCTTGTGGTTCACAGTCCAGTGCTTCTCCTACAGAGCCACAGCAATTCTACTCCTAGGAATATATATATATTCCAAAGACTTGGAAACAGACTCAGATACAAGTAAAGTTCGCTTTATTGTGCTTCGCAGCTGCTGTGTTATTTACAAAGTGAAGGTTTGTGGCAACCCCGCTTCAATCAATAAACAGCATGTACAATAGCGTGTGCTCACTTCGTGTCTCTCTGCCACATTTGGTAATTCTCACAGTATTTCAAACTTTTCCACAGCGCTGCTGCACACTTCAGAGACGACAGGTGAGTGTAAACATAACTTTTATCTCCACTGAGAAGCTAAGACAGTCATGAGACTTGCTTTAATGTGGTGGTCTGGAACCGAACTTGCAATGTCTCCAAGGTCTGCCTGTCCTTGTACACTGATGCTTACTGCAGCACTACTCATAGCAGCCCAACCACCAAGTGTCCATCAACCCACGAATGGACTGCCACATGGAGTGTACGCTTAGATGTTTACACTGTGAGTTACCATGGAGAACCTTACTGCACACTGTGGTTCAGAAAACTATTCCTGCAATTATCTAGTCTGACCATTATAGATCTGTAAAAAGGGATTTATATGTAATACAACATGCTTTTAATATGGACATGTTTCTCTACTCACAACATATTAAGTGAAATACTCACAAAAATTAAGTGAAATAAATCTTTTTAAGAGTGACATCAACCAGTATTGGGGCATATCATTACAAACAAGAAGACACACTGATGAGTTAGTCAAGGGCTAACTAGGTAAGAATGATCTCTATGTTTCAAAACTCCCATAAGTGGGAATGAAATAGCCTGTAATGGAACATCCAATTTTCAGTGAGGGACTTTTGAAAACATGATTTCTACCTCTCCCAACAACCTACAAGGTACTTACTACTTTCCCCATTTTACAGGTAAGGAAACTGGGCTTCAGAGAGGCTGGCTGACTTGCCTAAAGTAAGCGAGCCATCTGCGACTGAGTCCTACCTGTACCTTCACTACTAGAGCAGCGCCTCGTCTTCCTAGGGACCTGGGTGAAGATGCTGGAGTTAGCAGGAGCCCCTGAGCTCCACCCAGTCCCACACATGCAGAGAAGCATCATCTGCTGCTGACAACAAAGTCCTGGCTTTGCAGGGGTGCCAGATGTGGGTGGTCACCAGTGGAATAGTGTCCTGCTCATTTGCATTGAGAAAGATGTGACCTCTGTGAATGAAGAGAGGTTCTACTTGGCTCTCCACTCGATCCCAAGATGTGACATCATAGACCTGCACTGTTCCATCAAAACCTGAGGAAGAACACAGAAAAGCGAGAACTGAGATAAAATTCCTCCAAGAACTTCTCTAATTTTGTTCACAGTAACAAAATGGACTCTAAGGTGAGGAATCTAATAGAAAGGCCAAAGGAAGGACATGCAACAGCTGCCCTCAATATTGACAACTAGTCATTCCACTGGGCACTTGTCGATGTTATAGGAACAGCAAACACCTGCTGTACGTGCCAAGCCTGAAACTAATCCTGGGCATGCAGGATTTCTTTCAATCCTCAAACAGTTGTATAAAGTAAACCAAATCCCCACTGTGGTCTGGTTGAATTCCAACTTCTAGTGACCATACAGGACAAAGCAGAACTGCCCCATAGGGTCCAAGGCTGTAAATCTCGACAGAAGCAACTGCAGCACCATGCCGCAGAGGGCTGGTGGGTTCGAACAGCCAAGTTTTCAGTGAGCAACTTGGTGCTTACCCACTGCATCACCATGGCATTTCTCTGCTGTGATTTCCCATAGGAGACTGAGGTTTACATGACATTTTAGACCTTCTCCTTTGGCCCCATTTCTCCACCTCCCAGATGGGAGAAACAGAAGTCCAGTCCATCGTGGTCCCCCATCGATCTGTCTGTTGTCTTCCTGTGACCAAGAGTCAATCCCACTGCCTGAGCTCTGGTTCTCCTCCTCTGCCCTTGGGGATCCCTCACTATCAATGGCTCTCCACTATCAATGGCTCTCTACTATTCTGTCAACTCCTCACTCTCAGCGATCCTTCCCACTAGCATGCAGATGCCCTCATTCAACTAGAGACCACCAGACCAGCTCAGGAACTAACTTGCCACAATTTAAAAACAAAGGAAGGTTTTAGATGCACCCTTGGAAAACCCACCTTTTCCTGGTATAGTCCTATCCAGGGGCTTCCTGACCAACCTCTTGACTAAACACCTGTAGGAGTTTGGTAAGTAGGAAAGGCCTGCTGCCAACATTTACGACAGTCAGGGCTAGGGAAGGGCTGGCCGGATTTGTCCTTGGACGAGGTGATCTCTGTGAGTGAAGAAAAAGTTCTCTTTGGCTACCACTCCACCCCATGACGTGGCATTAATCGATCTGGATTATTCCTAAATTCCCTGTAGTCCCTAAAACCGAGATCCAATATCAGGGGAAAACTCAACTCAGCAGTACCTGAAATGGCTAAGCAGTTGTCCAGGACTGGGGCCCAAGTCACTCGCAGCAGCTCTGGGTCAAGGCTAGGCGTGGACACGGAGCACTGGACTGAGCTCACAGGGTGGTAGAGATCTCGGGAGTCGAGGAGACAAAGCTGGCCATTTGAGCTAAGGCTGGCAATGCTGGGCCCAGGGTTCTGGCCCCCGCCCTTGACTTCAGCACACCACCTCCCTCCACCCGACCCAGCGCTGGGGCTGAGCTTCTCAGATGGTGCCCACTTCTGGCGAATGTCAACAAGCCCCAGGCGGCCTGAGGTGCAGCAGAAGGCAAAGGTGTCTGCGCTGAGGACCTGCAAGCTACTCAGCACCTCACTGTCACCAACACCTGAAGACGGAAAAGCAGAGAACAGACCTGAAGCCCAGGTGGGACTGAAGTGTGGCAGGGCTAGCCAGTCAGTCCTTTTCCCTGGGAAGTTTTCCATACAGGCCCAGGCCAAAAGAAATGCTTCTCCCCTCTCATCTCAACAGTTTTCACTCAGCTGGGTGAGTGCTGGTCTCTGGGACAGCCTGTCCACCTCAGAATGGGAGCCCTGGGGGCCAGAGATGACCTCTTCTTCATCCTGTTCCCCAGCCATCTGATGCAAAGGACTGAAGTAGGTGCAGAACGTGGCTGGGTTGGGCTGGAAGCATTCGCTGGCTGGAGGAGCCAGTCAGGCATCCGGCCAAATACCTGAGGTGTATGTGGTCTTCTGGGACTCCAGATCAGTAATCCTCAGACTTCTGAGCCTTGTCCCATGGAGGACTCCAGGGGTCATCAAGGAGAAAACAGCCACCCTCGGCCAGAAACTCCCCTCCTCCTCAGGTACATCAATGGTGCTGATAGCTTTAATGACATCTGGGCAGAAAGGAGGAAGCTAACATCAGAATGTGACAAAGGTTTGAAATGTTCCATGGTGAAGACCTGCCAGCCATCTTTGGCCTTGCATTTAGGCCAAAGAGAAAAGGGAGCTGACAGGTGGCAAGAGAGGAAGTTGAGACACAAAGACTGTGCTGTATTTACATTTCTGAAACTGTCAGACTCATTGCCTCTGTAACAGCTCACAACCTTGGAAACCCTATGGTTGTTGTTGTGAAGTAACATTGAGTCGATTCCGACTCATAGCGACAACCCTCTATAGGGTTTCCAAGGAGCGGCTGGTGGGTTTCAACCACCAAATACTGCAGTTCAAATGGCAGTATTATTTCTTCAGAATATATATATTGACCCCAAGCCATTTGCTGAAGCCTAGCAGGTAGAAGTTACAACAAAAAATGTCATTGTGTTAAAATGCAAACCAGGCAAGAAAGACCACAACTTTTTTTATACTGAATGGAAGAAAAATCAACTTGGTTTCAAGGACAACCAATTTTAATTTGCTTGTCTTAGCCTGCCTTAGCAGGCAGATTCTCATCCGTCTGCTCTACGTTTTGAGGCTTCTCTTACTGGGAACCTTTACAACAGCTCAGAACGAGCAATTTCCAATAGAAATGATTTGGAGAGACTTGTATTTTCCAGTTAGTATTTTCTTTGCTCCAGGACGGCATTTATTATTTGGTTTCCAAATCCTCTGAAGAAAATGGAATTCTAAGAGATAAGTGAAAGTTCGAATGATGCAGGCCTGGCAGAATCTCCCTCAAGGCATTTCACAGGCAAGGAGGGCACAAAGGGGCAGGTCTAGGATGGGCTAGAGTGCAGAGGCCCCTGGAGCACAGAAGCCGGCAGACTAAGAGAACAGAAGTGCTCCTTCCCAGGGGCTGAATTCATATGCCTCTGTTAGGAGGAGACTCCGGGGCTCACAGCAGACACCACACAGACGCTCAGGACCCCAGCACCCCGGCTTGGCTTGAAGAAGCCAGTCAGGCTTCAGTTCACAGCGGCCCCACGGTGCTCGCCTGACTCTCCAGGGTCACACTTTAGTAGCTTCCCCTCTTGCCTTTCCAGACTGAGAAGCCTGGAACAGATCCTCTCGGACCTGCTGCTCAAAGCCAAAGGATGGTCCTCAGTAGGAGATTTGTCACCTACTGATGGAGGTGAGGGGAGGGCAGGAGGAGTCAAGCAAAAACCTTCAAAGATCTATCGCTCTTCTGTCATCGTGAAATAAGACTGACCGCTCCTCACTGTCAGCTAAGGGGGATTTTATATTTAATAGCAGTTCTTCAGGGGCCACCAAGTCAAATCCACTCACCACTTTCCTCTGCGACCTGCCACACCTGCAAGGAACAAGCTGGAAGCCCACTGGTCACCAGTAACCTACTCAAAATGGATAGGGAATTTTAGTCCAGATCATAAAGAGCTCACCCCGCCCCATACCCGCCAGCATTCCCCTCTCTAGCCTTCTCAGCCTGGGATGCCTGCACGGAACCCACATCAGGGCATCTCACCACTCCAAAGGATCACCCACACATATCTAACAGACTAGGCCAGACTCAGTCTGCTTCAGGGACAGGCCCACAGCTTCGAGTCCAGAGAAAGCTGGGACTGACTGACCCAGGGAACAGGTGTCATGATGCTCACCTAGAGAAGACACTCGGTATCAAGTCAGAACCCTGACCCAGAAACTCTCAAGCTTCCCCCAAATACGCTATCACCAACCATCTGCATCAGCTCTCTAAGAAATGAAGCACATCTGTCTAGTCTCTGTCTATTCCTTGTAGCAATTCCAGTCAAAAGGGCTGTTAAGGATCGCAACGATTTCTCTGTATTCCAAAAATCTGTGTGTGTTCCCATGGGTAGTCACATGTGCCCCGTGTGTGGGTACTATTGATAACACAAGAGATCCCTGAACATTTCCAGTCACCGACCCCACCCCTTCCTGAATGGAAGGTCTGGGATACAGAGCTGAACCATACCTGGTCTTTGGCACATGCTTTAGATCAAAGATAGGTTTGTCTGAAAATCCTCCATGGCGCACCTTGAAATCTCTTTCTGGGAACAAGCCCTACAATACAAAAGTTTGGCCAATCAGATAAAGCTTGCTCTTCAAAGGACTGCTTTAGATGAATCCTAGTTACAGAGTTAGACCCTGGCCTGGTAGGAGGCCATAGAAGCTATTCAGCTGGCAATAGATGCTACTCCCTGCAGGGAGCCAGGGTGAAGTGATTTGGAGTCCACACATCCAAAACCCTGCATTTCATAAGCCCTTTCCACTGTAGCATCAACCGATTCTCCAGGCCTCCTTAGAAGAGTTGCAGAGGTTTACCATCTTCGTCAAAGAGAGCTGGGATATATTAGCCAATTAATGCATTGGAGCCCTGGTGTGGTGTGGCACTGTAGGATCAGCACTTGACCGGTAAGCACATGGTTGGCAGTCCAAACCCACTAGCTGCTCCTCAGAAACCCTACACAGGGTCACTATGAGTCAGAACTGAATGGCACTCCACAACACCAAATTCTGGGAACAGGATTATGTTCCCTGTTGTTGTGCCCTCGAGATGGTACCGACCCATAGCGACCCTATGCACAACAGAACATAACACTGCCCAGTCCTGGGCCAACCTCACAATTCTTACCACACTTGAGTCCATCGATGCTGCCACTTTGCCAATCCATCTCGCTGGGGGTCTTCCTCTTTTTCTCTGACCCTCC